ATGGAGAATCGACGTAGACCGCCGACTTTTTTCTAGGTCTTCTGTGCCGCGAGATATGAGGGATTTTATGTGCTTCAAAAATTAACTGATTTTGTGTCCTCACTTTCTGCTCTCCAAAATGCTACGAGGATAAATAAATAATATAAATAAACATAAATACCGTTTCTTTAGTAAATTTATGAGTGTACTTGTTGTTTGAGGTACTTAGCCTGCTTTTCATAACGATTTTTATCATATTCTCAGAGTACGATACCAATCTCAGCCCAGGTGAAGGGGGTCATCGGGAGTTTGGCCTCAAAGTGAAGGGGGTAAGATCCATCACTCCCCCTATCGCAACTATGAGCGGAATCAGCGAGTCCTCTTCCACCATAAGCTTCAGCCCTGATAATCTCAAGAAACAGCACATAATCAAGCGTAGTTCACCATTCAAGGTAGTTAGGATCAAAAATTAACCAAAGCCAATTATGCTTATCATAGGAACTAAACCTCAACGAGCTTCTCGCCGGCTACACAGCTCCGAGTAGAGTCAAACACAAGACTTCGCTCGTCATCAATGACTTTTTACGTGTGATCTTCAGACAGGTTGGCCATTCATGTTCATAACTTTCATAACCAATGAACATGTAAGTATAATAAAAAAATCTAGTTAAGTAAATATGAGTGGACTACAGCGAGATTTGTAGGTTTGTGGACCAGATCCCTCAGATATATGGAATTTTGCTCATCGTACATCTAATGTATCGCGCAAGCCGGATTTACAAGATCTGCCTGAGTCCATAGTTATCACACTCAACGGTACGAAACTAGTCATGTAAGAAATTCTCATTCAAATCATTCTTTAGATTTCGTATTGGATGCGCTTAGCCTCGGCAACGAGGATTTGGAGGGATACAGATTGATACAGATTGAATTCGATAAGAAGCTTGCGCACTAGGTGCGTTGGTGTTTCGTAAGCAGTCTTTACCTACTCAAATGATTTAGTTACTGGATCTCTCTGGGTACATCCGATGAAGAACGCGAGAAAAAGTTCAACTATCTGCTGGAGCAAAAAACTTTCTACTGCGGCCAAATCAGGACCTGTATCGCAGAAGCACTGTAAGTTTTCCAGAATCGTCTTCTGCTTCTAAATTCAGTTTTACAGCGAGGATGTCCGTTATTATCGCCTCGACAAGGGAAAACTTGTGCCTTCAAAGGTTCAAACTTAGTCTCAGTTGTTTTTATACTAAAAATTTGTTTTCCAGAAATACAAGGCTACGCAGGTCGGATTTGGTAGAGAGGACAAGGCAAGTATGACGAAGTCAGAATGGAAGAGGAAAGCGCTACACAGTAGTGGAATTTGATCCCGTCGCTGTCCTGTTTGAACCTGATGTTTAATTTCTGATCCATCATAAGTCTTCTCATGTAACATCGTGCCTTTGCCTCATTAGTTAAGCATGTTTCTCATTAATCAGTGCTTCATTTACTTACTCCCCGCTTACCTCTATATTCACTACATGCTTACTTCATATCTCACTATCAATATGATACTCCTTACGCATTATCCGGGCTACTGTAATTCGATCTTTTAAGAACTTGAAGAAATTCTCCCATTCCCTCCGTCGATATGTTATATCTACTGCTATAACAATAAATGATGGAGCATATCTGTTTTTGCGTATAACTACTACTAGTGCTCCACCCTTACTACTACACTACTTTGAGTAGCTGTACTAAGGGTGCGGCTTTATGAAGTAGCAGGATTCATCATGAAGGTTCGGTACAGCTACGCGGAGCCAATGTGAAGCCCTCAGGAAGTTCTGTAGATAAGTTCTCGGGAGATTTCCCACTTCTTGCGAATTTCCCGAGGACTTTTTTGCAAACTTCCCGAGCGCTTCACGGGAACTTCCGCAGGTGACCCGAGGAAAGTTCCCTCACGGACCTCGGGAAGTTCCCATTGATTGTCTGAGGAACGGGCAAAATGTATACTAGAAGGTTCGTCTCATAAAGCTGAAGCCAAATTTTTTTCGCAGATTCTAAATAAACTTGTTTCAGAAGAAGCTATAACGAAATCCCGCAAGTTTCGCAAGTCTCGCAAATTTGGCCGAATTCCACCGCTACAATTGTACTCTGAAAATTAGGGAATTTTTGAAATTTTCAAAAATTAGATGCAGTCATATTCAGTTTGTGAATGAAGAAGCCGGAACTTTCAGGAGAGATTCAGTTTTTCGGAAAGCGAGGATACAGTTCAAGTAGGAAATCTCGCCACAGTTGAAAAGCGTTAAAAACTTAACTCCGGAGATTGTTGGAACACAAGATGATTAACCTAGTACATTTGCTGATCCGTCATGTCAGTATGCATATTTCACAGTTATTTCTAATCTGATTGTATTACTGTGCCATTATAACAGTAATGCGCGACTTAGGTCTTTTCTTAGAGTGTGATGAGTGAATGGCAATAGATTCGGGCTGCCGCGTAGCGCAACGCATGTAAGCCGTCGCTACTCGCTTATTACCATCCAGTGCGGCTGCAAGCTGCCGTCGGAGTATCCGACCGCCTCTCAAAAAACACCAACGAAAGGTCAAGCTTACTAAATTTCTCGGTACTTCCATCCTTCTTCAATGTCTACAATTACCGAATTCTTCAAGCGAAAGTGCGATTCACTCGAAACTCGGGCTAGAATCTGTCGCAAGAGCTCGATCTCATATCAAGTTGTGACAGAAGCAAAACACGACCCGTTTTAAAAAATTGCGAGCCTATGGAAAGTGAGCATCAATGATTTTTGAGAAGAACCTATAACGCATTCGAAGACCGGAAGACTGATGTGAGAAGCACAACGGCAGGATCCATGCATCCATCTGGAGCTACCGAACGCCAATTGTAGACCAGCTTCACTGGATGACCTTCGCAGGTTACATGCCAGCCAATGTTCTGATAAGCCAAAAAAAGACGAATAAAATGCCGAAGAATATTTTTGAAAATCACGTTCACTGGCAGCTCTTATGAAACGGAACTCCGATTCCTTTTACTTGAAGTAAATCGAAAAGAATTCCCGCATTTTTCCGCTCATCGATGACAGTGCCAGTCTGTTATATCCACTGTAAGTATCAAAACGTATTCTCCCTGTAAAACTGTGCATTGTAAAAACCATAAAGACGATTAAGGCTTCCAGGACCACTCTTTTTGTCAAGCATTTGCAAGCCAACAATACCTACGAGACAAGATTATCTTGGCGCATTCAACACTTTACCTTTAAGAGGGAAGGATTTATACAGTGTGTCCCAAAAGTCTTGTAACCTAGTATTTTTTTCTGATAAAAACGGAACAACATAGGGATATAAAATTTGGCGTACACATTATTCAAAAAGTAGCAAATACATCACAGCATTCGAACTTCGTCGTAGCATCTTCACTTGGTAACGGAAGCCTTCAAACTGTTGGCGATTACCACTGCCGAGGCACGCAGGCAGTCATCATCAATTTTGTCCCAATTTTTCATGAATAGATCTTATCGCTCAGAAAATGTGCTGTATGATAAAGCAAGCTTTCAGCTACATCATACCATGATTAGAAAAATTTGTGAGTTTTATGGTTGAAATTATGGAAATCTGAGCGCAGGCACGTGTAGATCTCATGGTGAAGTTTTGGACACATTTGCGGAAAATGAAAATAGAAAATCGGCTACAATGTGTTTCAAAACCAAGTTCGTTATCCGTGTTGCATAGATTCCCATCTAGAAAACATGCGAAGAGGATATTACTCCAAATTCAGTGACTGCTGCAATTCTACAGATTTGAAACTAATTTTAAGGACATAGTTGCAGTGGCACGCATTGAAAATTTTCAGGTTTTTTCTCGCCTCTCTTGACGAAATAGGTTTTTAAATGCAGCTATTATAGTGATAGTAGTGCAAAGCCTCCTCTATATTGTGGATATAAATTTGCACCGCGTGTGCCAAATTTTTGCAGTAGCGGAATAAATTTCAAACTTTTAGGAAATAGCTTTTTGCATTTTGAGGTAGAAATGGTCTGATAATTTCCTTTTTTTCAGTCAAACATGAAGATCATTTTTAACCACCAAGGATGTTGTTTATGAAGAATGATTGGAGGATTCTGTGATATATATTTGAGATCAAAATCACCAGTGATTATTGAGTTAAAGCAGCGCAAAATTAGGCTACAAGACTTTTGAGACCTGTAGTCTAAAAATATCAATACCGTTGCATCTTAAGATGAGCGAAAACTTTATTGGAATTGCAGTTCAATATGCTTCTTGAATGTGCATTGTAAGCTTTTTATGAAAATGGTTTTACTCGCGTTTATAAAACTTTGGCTGAAGCCCATGACCGAGAACAAACCTATTTCTCGTTTGGCGGCACATTATTCTTGTTCCGAGCTTTAAGAGACGATCAAAGGAACTCGAAGGAGAGAAAAGAGGATTGGACTGCGAACAAGTTCTGTCGGAGTTTGCAGTACGGATGAAAAAATGTTCTTCTTCGTAAATTGACGGATACGGTGCGAAAGAGAAACACAGTTGGGCCGGTTACATTGTGGAAGAAGACGATCAATCACAAAAAAAGATTAAAATGGATTGTTCTCGAGAAAACGCCCTCGAGGAAGATCAACATCAGTATAGGCAGAGGTGCTTTTGAAACGGATAGACCACTTCAGAAATAAAGTGCATACTACTAATACGACTACTGCTTTTGAAATGGACGCAGCCACTACGGCCACCAAGGGTGCCGAAAGCAAGAGACAGGGACAAATGGCATCACCTACATGTAACTTGAGTGCAAACCAACTATGCTCTTTGTAAGCAATATCAAAATTTCAAATTGAGTAAAAGCTAAAGTTGACCAATGCAGCTAATACTTTAGTGTTACGATACAAATTGTGTGAACATAGTTGCTGGAAAAAAAGAAAACTGGGTATGGGTAATTACCGATTTTGATGCTTTCACTTCTTCCATTAGTATCAAAAATAACGAAACTATTACGCAGACAAAATTTTGAACATATAACTTACTCTGTAACACATGTGCAATTACGCAGTCTCTCAAAGTTGTGTTTGTGTGCGTCGTGTTCTTCCAAAGACTCTTAATTTAAAAGATTAATTAAAAAATTAACAAACGCGTCCTGTTTGTACTTTGTGTATTAAAAAAATAGTCACGCATTGCAAGCTTACCAGATCAGCAAAAGCTTGTCGCTGTGCAAACGAATTATGCGTGAGACATGCCCTTATAGATGTAACGAAAGTTTTGCGAGAATATTTGTTGAAACATGTTTCATTCAACCTTATTTGCCTTCACTTTTCAGAAAGCTTGGTGCTATGCAATTTACCGCAAATTCGATTAGGCTATAAAACATTGAAAAATCTTTTTTTTAATAATTTCCACTCATATTAGTGCCCGCGAGTTGAGCATTGACCATTAGTTGCGCGACCTTAACTCGAATGAATGACGTCTACGCTAAGCTCCGATTCAAAAGCTTTTTAACTTTTTGAACTTTTTTGAAATGATGTCCGTCTAGTGAGTTATGCAAACTCCATCGGAAGGCAGTTTTCATCATGCATCGTGTTCGATAGTGCTTGAGATGTAATACGAATTCCAGCTTATCCTGTCTTTTGAGCTTTTTGAAGAATCACAGTTTGAGAATTTTTTGAAAAGCCGTTGCTTGTACAAGAAACTGCTGAATTACGTCTCTATCGGAAATTTGAATGGCCCGTGTCCCATGCACCCTGCTAACTACAAACTCTCTTCTTTACATTTTCACTCGTACATAAAAGCTCATTATTCTTTTTGACTAGTTCAATCAACGTAAAGCCTTATATAGCGCGAGCCAGCCCATTACAAAGTCTGTGCTTTGATTCTCCCAGATTACTCTGGTACCAATTTACCATGTACGGATGGTGGGGGGGGGGGGGGGACGGGACTTGACTGAGGGGCAGGGTCAAACCTGGTGGGACCTGGTCGTAGCGTTTCATATCACTACGCCACTCGTTCCCCTATACAAAGAGAAATTCTGACGATTCTAAAATCATAGTGAACTTTTTCTCTGTAATTCCAACCATAACCTAGAAAAATTCAATGCTCTCTTATAGCCCTTTACGACTGGTAAAAACAGGTAAGCGATTATCAATTCAAGGCTTCCCAGCTCAATATCTCATATACAAACCAGAAAGAGAGGTGCTATTGCTACCTTCCTCGTTTGAATTCCGCTAAAGCATGAAAATATTATCCATGATGCAAACCATACCGCGATTAAGTTTCGATATTCTGTAGATAAAAAATTAATTGAATACAGTAACCGCAAGGTACAGACCCTGTAAAATCCAATTGCCCACGCGTCGCTTTAAACACCAAGGCGCGGCGCGGCTGGGAAAGTTTGGCCCCGGAGCGCTACAGGCTTTTTGCGAGCGACAATGAGCGCGCACCCTTTCCACATATATTTTTTTAAACTTGTGAAGGGAGCTTTCGTCAAGATATACCTTGCATTGACGAGAACAACATGAAAGCTATAGAAGGATTTTCTGAAATATAGTGAACGCCGACAGTCGTTCGCGACGACCGCTCGCTTACGCTGGTGTTCAAGGCACGGCGCGGGCAATTAGGTTTTACGGCGCCTATAGATGTTGTAGAACGTTTCAACATAGATTGGAACTCGCTCATTATTGATAGCTAGCACTGAGGCGATCTAAGTGGCTGCGGCGTACCTGCCACACCTTGATATATTTACGTGTTGCTGTGTCTATTATTGAGTTGATCCCAGTGAACCCGCAGCATATACGCCGATATATATAGGAAAAACATTTGTGTTTTTCAATAGATTGTCAACGACTCAACGTGTTCCATTACAAATGGCGAACAGGATCAAGGAGAAGAAGCCTCCACCGACCAAAGACCAGAAGCCTCCCATCGATCAAGGACAAGAAGAAGTGCTGCAGCTCGAATAGAAGAGGAAGCTCTTACTGGTCGAGGACAGCCAGGCTAGTAAGATTTGCCGAGAAGCTTGTTGATTTTGCAGAAAACTTCGTCGACACCGAGAGATTTACCATATTGAAAGCCAGTGAAGAGGGGCATGGCGACTCCGGTCCTGTCGGTCATGGTCGACCAGATGCGTCCAGCAGGAAGAGATGAAGCTGTATATGCAACTTCAGCAGGAGCAAATGCAGGCGCGACTACAAGTTCAACAGGAACAAGTGCAGATACAACTGCAAGCTCAGCCGGAGCAAATGAGGACGGTGATTGCTGCCCTGGTCAGTGATCAGGAAGCCGTCCAAGAATAACAGCAAAGATCAGTACGATCAACTGAGCAAAGACGTACAATTCGTCTTAGACGAAGAGACAGGTAACACCTTTGCGTTTTGGTGTGGCAGGCACGGACCGATCATTCGCGACTCCCAGCTGCCTGATCACAAAAAGCACGACTGATCCTCATGACGGTAAATGTGGAAGCATATCGGAAGCACGCGGATGAGTTCCTGCACAATCAAACGACATGGGATTTGACACTAACGTCGCGAATCTTCAGAAGCTGTTCGCTTTCAAGAAAACCCTCATCAGAAGACGTCATGAGTGCCTAAGGATGCCCTCCGCTTACGCCAGCGTACTTACCGTTTCGCGAATACGCCAACACTATCAAGCGGATGGACGAGGATGCCCGGCTTAAGGAGGTCGACTACATGGCAATGACGACGCTGCATTTCAAAGCAGGTCTTCAAGATCCCTCACTCAGAGAAATTCGCCTTCGGATGATTCGTCGACTAAATGCTCACACGGACGAAGCTTCTTTGACAATCGAAGACCTAGTCGCAGACTGTGAAAATTTCACTGCCCTGTAAATGGATAATACTCGACATAGAAGGCACACACGAAATTCAGGCTATATGGAAGAAGGAGTTAAATTGTTTCATATGCACCACATTTCAGAAGAGAGTGCCCGTAATCTGCCAACAATGGTCGAAAGAAGCATTGGAAGACAGGGACTCAACACTTTGGTTGCAGAAGGAGATAGCGCAAAAATGTGGTCCTTTCGACGCCGAGAATGCACGGACTTACCTCGACGTCTAGTCAAGCAATATTCTCTCAAGCTCCAGCTGAATACGGGCGCAAACATAATTCTGATATCGCGCTTGAGCTTGAAAGAAGATGGAATCACCGGCTTTGAAAACCTATATTATGCCAGTCAAAACTGCAGCCGGGATCCCGATGCAGATTTAGGGTAAATTTCAAACCGATTTCTCAGTGAGAAATCGGCATGCATGGAAGATGGTTCATGGAAAGGGCACATGCTGCGTCACCGACAACTTAAATCTACTGGGATTGGAATGGTGTATTCAGTTGTCCGCATACAAGAAGTTGAAGAACATCTACCATTGCAAGAAGGTGATTAGTGAAGAAGCGGGCCAAAATGGGTGCCGACTTAAAGGAGAATATCCAGATGTCTTCAAAAAGAACTAGAAAGATGAAAGAGCAAGGCTAGGTTAACCTGAAGAAGCATGCTGTACTAAAGAAAAAGAGACCAGTTCCATATGCCACAGCACCAGAACCGAGAGCAGAAATTGGTCGGCTCGAAGCTAAAGGTGTCATTTCTGCTGTAGAGCACTCGGGATAGGCCACGCCAGTAATCGCCGTCAAGAAGAAAAATGGCAAAATCCGTCTATGTGCCGACTCCTCGGCAGAACTGAATGATGCATTGGAATTGCATAACACCCATTGCCCACTGCGGAGGAAATGTTCGCAAAACTAAACGGAGGCCAGCTCTTCACACAACTCGACCTGGCCGAAGCTTATCTATAGGTGGAAGTTGAAGAAGCATCGAAAAAGATATTAAAGGCAGTGTCCGGGCAAAAACTCGATTTTGAGATTTTGTGCTTACTTGGGCCTATTCGCTACGCTGAATCCGAAAATGCACATTGAAGAGCGCGAAAATGGCGAAAAACGGCTCTAACACAGGAGGGAAATGAGCAGGTGGGCGGGGTCCTCCCCACTGCGAATTCACGTTCCCGGCTTCCGGAGCGACCTTCTCGCTTCCGGTTTCAAGTCAATCATTCGCACTTGGCCGGTAGCGATGTTAGGACGGCTAGCGAAATCGAGAAAATCGCTCCGGGATCTGGGAGCGTGAAATCGCACTGGGGAAAGCCCCGCCCACCTGCTGATTTCCCTCCTGTGTTAGAGCCCCTTTTCGCCGTTTTTGCGCTTTCCAGTGTGGATTTCGGATTCAGCATGGCGAATAGGCCCGTATAAGCACAAAATCTCAAAATCGAGTTTTTGCCCGGACACTGCCTTTAACCCTCAATAGCACAAAGAATTGTACCGCTACAATTGCCTACCTTGTGGGGTAAAATCCGCCCCAGACATATTTCAACAAACAATGGATTCTATCATAAGCGGATAAGAAAGGGTAGCTGCTCATTTTCATGACATGATCATCACGGTAAGGATTTATGAAGAGCACCGCCAAAACTTGGAAGCCTTGTTTAAAAGATCAAGGACTATCAATTCCATGTTTCAGGTTGGAAAAATGCAACTTTCTGATGCCCCAGATTTGTTACTTAAGTTGCATCATCGACAAGAGCGGACGCAGGCCGGACCCAAAGAAGATCGAGGTGATTCAGCAAACGCCAGCATCGAAGGACATAGCGGATGTTCGTTCCTTCCTAGGCATGATCAACTACTATGGATTATTTGCAGCAGAGATGAGCCAGCTCCCTGCACCCTTAGACGCATTGCTCAAGAAGGGAAGAATTACGACAGTTTGAAAAAGAAGGACTTGTACTGGTTTTCGCAGTATATGAGTTCCATCGGTACATATACGGACGCCGATTCAGGCCTACCACAAGCGGCTGTTACACGATTTTGGAAGAAAATGGTGCCTGCCCGTCTACAAAGCGAACAGGCTGCAACGATGGAAGCTTATTCTACTCGCATACGACTTCGACCTGGAGTACCAAAAGACGATCGAATTCGGATAAGCGATGCATTGTCTCGACTGATCCCTCCACGACCACAAACCGAAGAATCGCGAATCGCGAACATAGAAGGAGATGTGCAGACTGTTCAAGCTGAGGCTGTACGAGCGTTACTCGTCACCAGGA